TTAAAGGAGTAAAAAATTTAAATTTGGGTTTAAATTAAATTTTTAAGGGGCTTTTTCTTAAAGCCGTTTTTTTGTTTAATAGAGCTTAAGGTTTTAAGAGATTGTTTTTAGGGGAAATGACAAGGTTTTTACATTCCCTAAAGAGGTCAAGAAAGTTTTTACTTTTGGGGGGGACAAAATTTTTCCCCATTAATAATGGTTTTTCTTTAATTGATTATGGGAGGCTGGTGTTTAAAGCAAAATTTTTGGTTGGGGGGTATCTGTCGGGAAAAATTTTTCAATAAATTCCCCTTAAATTTTTTATTAGAAAAAAATTAAAAGTATACTTGTCTGGGAAATGTTTGATTTTAGTTTTTTTTTTAAAAAGTTAGGGGCTTCATTTTTTAGAAAAAAGGAAAGTTTGTCATTTATTGTAAATAACTTAGAAATTTTGGGTATAGTTTTTAAATTTTCTGGAAAGGCTAAAAAATGTTTTCTTACAACAATGTTTGAGGGAAAATTTGTCTTTATAACACAATTAATGAAATTCAAATTAAAGCAGTTCATTTGAACAGTGAGGAGAAATAGTTGGCTGATTGTCTTTTCCAGATGGCATTTTAAATGATTCTTTTAAAAAATGAATTTTATAGTCGAGTTAAAATGAAAGTTTACAAGAATATTTTGTTGAAAACAGTAATTTTTGAATTTCTATATTGACTGTGGTAATTTAATTTTACCTTTCAGAATATGGAATTTAAAGCAATTAAAAGCAAGATTTAAAGATTTTAAACATCTTCTGCCTTTGCTTGTGGAACTAATAGAAATTTTACGTATTCAATGGGAAAGTTTAAATTTTGTTTTTTTATTTTTCAAATTTTCTTATTTACCAGCTTCAACCAATATCTTCAGTTTGTATGCACAGTTTTAAGTAGCATCCTTCAAGTCAGTCCAAACAGTATTAGAAATTATATTAGTGGAGTTAGAACTTTACTTTTTTGTTTAGGTTTTAGTGTGGATCATATCAATAATTATTTTAAATTAAATTTTTTAACTTTGCGGGGTTTTCCAGGATTAAATCCACATTGCAGTTAAAAAGGCAGAACCGATTACTATAGAATATTCTTTTAAAAATTTTTTGAATAATTTAGATTTTCAGATCAAGCAAATAAAGTATTTTGGTGTTTATTTCCTATTTGCCTTTTCTTTAGTTGCTAGAAAGTCGAATTAGTTCCTACTTCAAAATCTTGTATATTGAGTATAATGGCAAAATATTTTGAAAATTAGAAAATGTTCCCAAGTAAATTTTGGAGAGTATATTTTGGGGTTTCCTTCCACTGGACTAAAAAACTAAATTCAATTTGGTGAAAGGGAGGTAGTCAGTCCTCTCCTCAAATTTAGAGATCACCGGTTCATGTCCTGTTTCAGCATTTGAAGAGGTTATGGAAGTTGAAAATTTAATCATTTTCCCCAAAAGGGGCCCCTTTTTCAAAACTTCCTAATGAAATTGGGATCAAAATATCATATGTTTTTAGCGCTAAAAAATTTTTATTGAAAATATAGGTCTTAATCCTTGGGAAATTTTTTAACACATTTTTCGTCGAGGGTTTAATACATTTTGGGCCCTTTTGTCAGACCCTTCCCCCCCAGCATAAATTTAATTTTTTAAAGGGGGGTTGGGAAATTTGGATTCGGGAAAAAAATGTTATTTAAAAATTAAAATGGTCAGTAAAACTAAAATTTTGAGAAAAAATGTTTTCCCAATTTTTTTTATGGTCATTTTTTTTATTAATTCAATTACAATCCCCGTCTAATTAATAGAAAAATTGACAGTATTTTTTAGAAGGTCATCCATTTTCCCGGTTTTTTTAATATCTCCAGAATTAACTTTCCAAGATCTAGAAAATTCTACTGATTTTAGTCCTCAAACCCTTTTATTACAATTATACATGTATGGTATACAAATGAATATCAACCGTTTATCCTGAAGAGCGAGAATTTAAGTTTGGGTTTAAATAATTTTGATTTCAGTTTATTAGAGCAACAGCTCTTCTACTCATATTTAATTCATCTCGAGTATTTTAAACCTAGACCAGTTGATCATGTTTTTTAACTGGTTCAAAGGTTTTAAGAGAATTAATTTTCTTTGAAACAGAAATGTTTGGAACGGTTTAAAGGTCCAAAATTCAAATTTGTTCATTTTCGTCCCTTTCTTTAAATTTGGTAAGCCTCTGAGGGATTTTTTTTTGCAGTTCCGTGAATGGTGGTTTGCATCTAAACATTGAAAGGTACTCGGTCGCCTTCGTTTATTTTTTTATTAAATACAGTGGCTCATCTTCTTAAAACATTAGGTTTGTTTTTATTGATAAGGAAATTTTATTATGTTTGATGATAGTCTTTTTCAAATCATGATAAATCATTGCACTGTTTAATAAAGACAGAAACAAATCAGACTGTTTGTCTTTTTTTCTTAAAGGAAGTATCTTTTCCTTTGAAAATTAAGTGAACATATAGTAGTGGTATGTGACGCTACTTGTAATGAGAATGACTTTGTGTGACAGTTTCTGTAATGTTTCTTTATTTAGTTTTTTCTGTGTGGCAATGTGTAGATGTGGTTTTTTTGTATATTAACTTTTATATTATATATGTGCAATGTGTATATTTGTTATATTTGGATGGTAAATTTTGAAATAGTACAATGTATAAAGTTATATATGAGCCAATGTGTATATGGTGATATATTGTATGTAAATTTGAATGGTATTTTTATATATGTGCAATAATGGTATGTATGTATGATATATTTGTATTTTAACTTGCGAATGGTTCAAGTTTTTATATTAGTATCTTTTTCCTTTGTTATAATTTCTTTTTTTTTCATAAATTGCAGTTTTTGCCCTGTATGAACATGTGAAAAGGAAGATTACATGGTGTTATTTATGACTGAATCTTGTGTAATAGAAGATATGTAAGTGAAATTTATTTCAGTTTCTGCTTGGTTGCTTTGCCTTTTTGTTTGTTTGGCTTTTTGTTTGCTTTTTGCTTTTTATTATTTATTTTTTGTTTGCTTTATTTTTGTTTATTTTGGCGGGAGTTGGCGGCTTTTATGTATTAAAACATAATTTGATGTTTGTCTCAGTATCATTCATTCTTGTTATTAATACTGGTCATCTTGATATTATTGATTATTTCAGAAATTTTTCTGTGCGTGTCTATATTTACAATAAATCTTCTTGAACATGAATTTGTATCTGTTGTTTGTGTTTATGAGATAATTTATAGCATTTTGTTTACTTACAAAATCTTCTAATTATTGAATGTTACATAATTTTTCATTGGCTAATATTTTTCTGCTTCACTGATTTGTATATCACTACGCGTATAGCTTTATATAGTCTTCTCGCGGTTTTTTCCTTACAGTTTTGATAGACACGTCTCTGTTCAGTGAAAATTTGAAATTTTTTCAACCACTCCCGCCCACCCTTAATTTTTGAAATGTTTAGCTTATTAAGTTTTTTTTTTTTTTTTTTTTTGCATATGTTTTAGCTTGCATGTATTTGAAATAGAGTTGCTTTGATTAATATGTTTCATATATGTTTATTTGAATTTGAAGATTAATTGATATTATATATGTCCAGTTGGTTCTGAATTGTTATTGAACGGCGGCTTTTATGTATTAAACATAATTTGATGTTTTGTCTCAGTATCATTCATTCTTGTATTAAATACTGGTCATCTTGATATTAATTGATTATTTCAGAAATTTTTCTGTGCGTGTCTATATTTACAATAAATCTTCTTGAACATGAATTTGTATCTTGTTTGTGTTTATGAGATAATTACATGTAAATTTCAGACTCGGTTTGATTGAGTTTGTACATGAGGGATAATGAATAAGTGCAACATCCCTCAGCTTCCCCAAGGACTCAATGATCTCGAAGTTTTAGAAAAAAATATAACAACACTGAAGTGTAGTACGGGTAACTTTTTACGACTGCCACACAGCACTTGACACCTGTTGTTGTGATATATAATTTCTGTAAAAAAAGAGATCCCTCGGAAGTATTAATCACAACAAAATAACTTGAAAATTTCAGGCTCGGTTTGATCGAGTATGTACGTGAGGGATAATGATAAAATGAAGCATAAGATGAATACCCAATTGAATACTGTTTAATCACGCTAGGATATATTGCATAATTTGATATGCAGGCTTCATAACCTCTGTTTCCCTTTTCAAGATTCCATTTTATTAAGTTTCGCCATTTGCTTTCTTGTTTAGGGAACACACATTGTTTTACTTGGGGACCAAGTGCCGCTTTTCATGGAAAGGCACACACGTGTCTCATTAAAGGTTCCATAACAACCGCCATATGAAAACATCTGCGCATGTTTCAAAATTCATAATTCTAACAGTTCATGTTAAATCTGACATCCATCTCTTGCTTCTGTTGTACTGAGATATACAAGAAAAAAGGACATGATAAAGTAATAAATTGTTGGCCTACTTATGTCGCAAGCGGGTTGTTTCATATACATTTTTTTAATTTGTTTGGACAAAAGACACACTGTATATCATCAAAATTGGCATCAAAAACCCACTTCATCATTGTTTGATAGCAATCACTAAATATGATGAATTTCCAGTGCATTGGTTTTAAGCTTAGAACCATAAACATCTTTGTATACAACCTAGATATGGATGTTTTAACCAATTTGATTAGACCAGTCACAGTCCTGGCTGTATTACAAACATTCAAGAATATTGTAATGTTTAAACATATTATAAAAAATAAACAACGGAATTATTGGTAATTTTATATAATCTTAACCGTTTTATGGTTTCATATTTTCCTTATTACAGATGAATTTACCCGAGGCTATAAAACCTTCATTTTCCTATATCGGAAATATATAAAGCGAATTTGTCAAAAATAGGAGGTTTGTTATATCTTGTATGAGTACTGTGAGTGTATTTAATACCATAGTGTCAACAACTAACGAAAGAAAAGATATAGGGCCCGTAAGTCTCGTTTACTTTCACTTTCGATTTACCACTTCCGGGTACATCGGCAGACTTATTTACCGTTACGCATATAGGTAACCCGAAGAACTCGAGAGATATAGAAGTTAAATTTGTTTCGGTCCTCTTCAGATTTGAAGGAATGGAAAGCACGGGTCAAAAAATGCAGGTAGGTCAATTATCTGACGGAAAAACGAGGGATTTATAAAGTTTAATAAAACTAGTTTATTTCGGATAGTGACAATTGTTTCGAATGTTTTTGTCAAGTTAGTGAATTCTAGTTGTTTAGCGTTTAGTATTGTTTTAAAACTACTGATGTGAGAAATTTATTCAAACCATTTTAACTTATTGAAATAAACAATGGAGAAACACTTTAATTCTAGTGTATATTAAAGTTATACAAAATTCGGATTTTGCACAGTAATTCGGATATTTCTTCCCTTACATTTTATCAAGATTTCAATTACTTACATTAGTATAATAAAACCCAGGTCCCAAGTAAGAGTTTTGATTATTAAATAAAAATTAGATGGATAGATCATAGATTTATTAAAAGTTTAATAGTATTGTGCCATTTCTAACTATGGAGAATAGTATCAAGGCACTAACACTTCTTTTTTTTATTCTCTTCCTTTTTCAATTATTATACATGTTAATATGGTACCTAGCAAATTATGATTGAATTAAAAAATTTAATATTTGAATAAAACATTTCAGATGTGTAGACAGGGAGGTATATGACAAGTATAGAATATACAGTTGTTCACTATGGACCATTAATCAACTGTTTGCACTGCCTATGATCCTGAAATATCTATACATCAAAGGTAAATACATGTAAAATAATTGTTTAATTTTTAGTTGAGATCGGAGAGATAAACAATTATCAAAACTATTTTAATAATTTTGGATTTCACTGCATGATAATTGATAAGTAAATAAAACATGAAAAACAGTCATGTTTCACATTCAAGAAGATCAATATTTTTGACTGTTATATATTTATGTGTTGTTGTTAATCTTTAATGTTTTATTTACTTCAAATATGAAATTTTCTGTCAATCATGACCAGCTTATTAAGACTAATGTAAATATCATTTCTAGTGTTTCACTCAGTGAAAGATATTCAGGTCTTACACTTGTAACAACATAGTTATTGATTTTTCATTCTGCAGATAAAAAGGAAAAAGATGAAGGAGAATTTGTCCATGAAGACCTTTATTGCAACTACCATTTTCCAGTTCCTTAATTTGAGAATGATATCAGAGAACACACAGTTACAGTGAAATATTAGTTTAATATAAGCCACAAAATATTCTTATTCTTGTATCAGTAGACATTCACAGTGTAAAGTTACACTGTCTAAATAACTAATAATAATTTCCAGTGCTTTCCTGAAGTTTTTCTTCCACTGGAATATCAGTGTGATATATATGCTAAGCAGTGCACTATAAATTGTGTAAAAATAAAAGTTTATCAAACTTATGAACTGTTTTTTGTTTCTACTATTTGGCATATATTTATAGCAGTACTTGATCATAAGAGTTCATCTGCAAAATAAGTGTCACTGTGTACTTTAATTCTCTAACAGCAATGGCTAGATTGCTTTGAATATGCAGGCATTGACTATATTAAATACCATGCATGTCATTTGAATTTTGTCTGTCCTGAAATCGAAAACAGACACTATCTAAATAATATTGATGAAAAGTTCTTGAACAGCTCTTCAATGACTACATTTACACATATGTACATGGACAGAAGTTAAAAGCATTGTGTGTTTTTTTTAAAACATTGACAATTTTGAAAACAGTCCAATGGGTATATTAATGTATCAGTGATGTAATTATTTTGTATCAAGTGCAAACCTAAGTGTTGCATGTTTTGTATAGATAATTCACTTTTGGTCAAATGTCAACAGGTTCAATACATTATAAAACAGGTATTTGCAACTCAAAGAAGTATATGGTATGTAAAAACTGCCCCTCTGATACTAAAATCTTTTCAAGGAATGCATAATTGCAAGTCTTCTCCAATTTTGTGATTAAGAGACAGACTTGGGCTTTCAAGGCTAGCAAGCTAGTGTTTTGCTACAGAATACTCAACACAGATGAATTGTATTAATATTGTTTTACTCTGGTATTACTACCTGCCATATACAATGCAAATCATGGCTTTTCTAAGAGCAGTGAAAGGCTATAACTGCGAAGGAAATTTACACATCTTGCCTCAGAAACAAGTTTTTCTTTGAGATGATTTTTATGATATTTAAATGATGGTTATAGATTACATTACTTTTACAATTGCAGTGATCATGGTGATAGTATGAAATGAAACTCAATCAAGATAGAAACATTTTAATGCAGATCATTTATCTTTTTACCATTCTTGTCACCTTACAAGTCTGTTTAAAACAATTTTATCTTAACTGTTTTGAAACTACATGATGCCTGGTTGAAACTGTTTTGGACAGCCATTTGCAGAAGATAAATTGTCTTTGGATGATTAAGTTAATACAAAAGTTACAAATGACAGGTTATTTATTTCTCACAAAGACAGGTTATTTATTTCTAAAAAAGACAGATATTTTTGTTTAACATTTTTACACTGACATATATCTTTGAAATGTCTCCAACCTTAGTTTTTATTAGAATACAAACATTCAGTTAGACAGTTTACACAAGACATGGAGCTTTAAGAAGCTTTAATTCAGTCAAAATCTGTAATGGACTGCCATGTCTCTACCACTATGTACTCCAAGACTGTGTATGGACATTTCCTTTCAACTATGTCTGGTGGTATCACTGTTTGGTTTCTATTCTGATGGTGAACACTCCAAAATAAATTAAGAGCCATGACAAGTACTCAAGATCCAACCATAAAATCACATACCTGCATATAAAGAAAATTTATCATGAGCAGAAAGCAATGATAATTGGTCAGCTATAAATTTTAATCATTTTCATATTGTTTTGAATAGAAAATAATGTTGAAAAGGAAGAAACACTTCTTGGTGTCCTAGTTGTTGTAGATTTGCTTTGACAACTGATCTTTAAAAATGTGATAGTGACCAAGTTCTTTTAACTATTTACTGAACATGATTTAACTAAAAAATATGACCCACTTACTTGAGAAAAATACTTTAAACAGCATTTTACCTGAATTAACTACATATGCCATACTGTTTGTTTATTTAGCTACACTGTAATTATTTACAAAAACGAGAACATTATGTTATACAAGAATATTTACTTTTCATTAATGTAGTTGAAGTAGCTTTAAGTATATATTTCTTACCAAAACGATTTTACAGCAGAGCATGCATGTGTATTTACATCGGATACTGACGTCTTTCATCTCACCACTGTCCTCAGTCTAAATATCTACACAAGCAAAATATTTCATTAAATTTTATGACAATTTAAATTGGTACTATACAGCTTGACTATTTGTGCTATATAAAGATAATAATAATAATAAACAATATTTTCAGTTAGAAGAAAATATATTCAAGTAAAACACACCGATAATCATATTGAAACGTTTTATCCGAAATATGCGCTGTCCGAAATTTCTAAACATTATATACTTCTGAGAGATAATCAGGTAGCGCTATAGAAAATTGATAAAATCAAATTCACCAGTCTGAAGTTAGATGCGAATGATGATGTATCAAATAACAAATTTATTAGATTTACATGGACATGAAAATATTACAACATTTATTGTGATAAACTGAATTCGAAATGACACACCCACCTGAAGATTATACGAAGTTGTCTTTCATTGATACTTGTTCACAAGATGAAACTATTTGCATTTCGTTACAAAACAAAAAACTCTGCCAATTTCCACATATCCTTTGTTTTTCCGTGTAAGTTTTACTTTCCCACCGGCATACAAGCATTACCCAATATATATAAGCAATGTTGTTGATATTTGTTTGTACCCGGAAGTGCAAAATATCGTGAAATCTCGCAAGTCACATGACGAGACTTACATACCCTATTGTTAGTAAGTGTAGGATACATAGTTCGATACAATATATTTATATATTGCAGATAACATATCGTTCTAGTACAAAATATTAGTTAATTTATCTGATAAATGTGTATACTAAATCACTTAGAACTCCCATTTCAATATTCATTTTTCAAAAACTATATTATAAGAATACCCAAATGGTACACCTTTTAAATACTTAGGGATTGATCAAACAACACATCATACAGTTTTTTCACTGACTTTTGGAATATGTTTCTTTTCTTAAATCGCACAATAACATCTTTAAGATGAAACAATCTTTTTTAATCAAAAAATGAATAATTGAATCATACCCAGCCATTGTGATTACTGTTATTTATTTTTTCCCCACATATTTAATATGAATCTTAAAAGCCATCTTTTGCCCTTTCAGTTTATTTAAATTTACAGCACACTATGCAATCATTAACATTGAAATACAATTTAAAAACTAAAAAGTACAGTGCAAGGCTTTTATGTTTACGTAACATTTGAGCACTTGAACAAATAATGATTATTGATGAGCGAAGCAAGGCGTTGCCTACAGTGCAGGAATCGAAAAATCATCAATCACAAATGCTGTTGATAGAATTTCTTTAATATCGCCTGAATTTCAAATATTTGAAAATAACAGAGGCTGCTATAGTTGATTGGTCTATGTCATTCATTTTGTTGTTGTTTTTTTGTGTTTTTATTGAAGGCCATGCAGATGGAAAAAGGAATTTATTTTATTGCAATTCAGGAATTGCATTTCATAGCTGTTTTCAGGGAGGTCATACATTTGCTGTTGAAAAGCTATCGTGTAATATTGTATAATTTAATACAAGCGAGATTTTATGCATACGTAAAATGGCTGCGAAGGAATTGTCAGCTTGCACTGCATACCTTTAGAAGGGGCGATTAAAATGCTACCTAGACGAATGCCTGTTTAGATCTGTGCAGTTGTTGAAAGCGTTACGACACGAATGTTCCATTACGTCCGTACTAGTAATACTCGTTTTATACTGTGACAGGACGGGTACGCTTCAGTCAATGTGCCAGGAATCCGACATCATGTGTCTTATTTATATATGCACAGTGTTGCTTATATCATAATGGATTGAACATTGATTAATGATGTCCCGATTAACGGTGTATTAGCTTTAATTAATCCAATAATCAACGATAAAACATCAAATTTGAGCATAAACGTAGTATATAAGACATTAAATGCATCAGGCCCATTGTTAAATCTAATCAAAAATGAAACAGCTTATATGTGACCCTGCTTTACTATATAAAAAGCGCCCATTTAAGTTCTATAAACCAGACCTATGTCCGCTCAGCTTTATCTAAATCATCTTGAAAGAAAGATACAAAACTTTAAAAGATTAATGTGTTTCTGCATGATTGAATTTTAGCCTGGTTCCATGTTATCAAATCTCGGTAGACTACAGACAGTTGCAGAGTCCATTTTTGTATACGGAGATAAGAAAACATGTTCTTTCTATTTGGAAAAAAAAATGTAAATAAAAATGTTTTGCAATAAAGCATGAATGTTTTTATGTCCTTGTATTTTTATTGACAACTCGCAAAATGAATCGCATCATTCCGCAGTAAATCATGCCCCTTATTCAAAATCAAATAATAAATATTACAATGGTTTGCAGACACGATTTGGAATGACTTGTACTCATAATGTTTCATGCGGCTACATCAGGATTATTGTCTTTATATTTGTTTCAACCATACCTTATGGGCCATATATTCATTTTTTTTTGCTGTGCGAAGTGAGTTTAACGATCCCCTTTGACTATGTTGATTTGTTATAACGATTTCGGTCCCTCAGTTTTGATAGAGTGGCATACTTTTGTTGGCTCAAAAAATGATTACTTTTGGTAGTGCAGATTAAATATTACTTACGACTTTTGAAGACCCAATACTTTTTCATTTTTCATAATGTCAAAACATAAAATCGACTTCCAATACAGAACATGGTTTGAACTTTTGAGAAACTTTGTGTCTAGGTAAGGCTTCACACATAATTAATACCGGTCGATGTTAAATATGCGGTTGTATATGACAATATCAATTCCGTTCAGGATATTTCTTACACAATTTATTTCATCTGTTTACTTTTTAAAAAAATGTACAAGTGTGGCTATTTGCTAAGGGATTCATTTAAATAAAATATTAAAAAAGACATAAGAAACATACACTCCTGAAGATTGGTAAAACCGATTTGCCTGTTTCTATAATCACTTAATTGCAAAGCCATTATTTTATTTAACGTAGAGAGGAGAGAAATATAATTTGAATTATGCTCAAGTTAAAAGAAAGTTACGGATTGGTTTTTTAACGTTCACACACTATTGTTAAGTCATTCCAGCACGCATAATAACGATACGACTGAACTGTTCTATGCTTCAACTTGTTTAGGATCATAGATGAAACAACATATCCATTATAACGA